CTGAGAAGCGATGGGAATTGTTTTTCATTAATGGTCTTTGTGTTATTCCCATCCTTCAGTACCCACCTACCATAGAAACACTCAACAATGTTATAGCCCAAAATATTAGCAACTAAGAAGTTCATGAGCACTACAAAATATAGTCTCCTCTTTTAAATAACAATAAAGACTAAATAATAACGTGTCTCCTTTCAGAAAAATATTTAGTGCAATTAAGAAGCATTCAAACTTATGTTTATCTAAAAGTACCATATTCCTATACTTACAATATTTATTACAAGTCTACAGAAATTAGGACTGCATCATGTGAACACTCAACTAATGTGATGGTTCATTCGTAAATATAGGTATGTGTCTGTTATCACCCAGACATTTTTCATCATTCTCGGATTTCTGTTATATTTCTTTCAAGCAAGTCACTGTTCTCTCAAATTAAGCCTGTCTTTTAAGAAATATTTAATCTATATTGTACCCTGTTCATCTGTATCCTTTAACTTTGTGAAAATTTTATAAATTTTGTTTCCTTTAATGCACATAATCATATCACTAACCACAAATATGGCATTAGTGCACACTGCACAAGTCAATGATTGAAAAGTGGTGGAACATAGCTAGCCATGGGGGCACATGCCTGTAATCCCAGCAGTCTGGGAGGCTGACGCAGGAGAATTGAAAATTTGAACCCAATCTGGGAAACAGTAATTTAACAAAACCTTGTCTCAAAATTAAAAAAAATAAATAAAACACAGCTGGGTGTGTAATCTTGGAGTCAATCCTAAGCACTTTCCCTCAAAAGTAATGAAATGTTAAGAAACACTTTTTAAATTGTATTTTTCCTCCACAGGTTTATTTTTGTCAATACCATATATTTGTAAGATTTGCACTTACAAAACAGATATGTAGTTATTTTCCCTTGAAATTACATTCTTAAACAACCTGGAAATGCTCTTTCATTGTTTTTCTGATCACAAATAATTTCCAGAATCTGAAGGGCTTTAGCACCATGGTCAGCTCCAACGCCCAGGTTTGAGTCCTGAGCTTCCTCCTACCCCTGATGAATACACTTTTAAGTAAATATTTCCTGAAACATGGATTATAAGGCTCTTAATTGAGCTACTCGATGGAAACTCGAGTTCGTTATTATGTCATCTTGCACTGTGATATAATTTGGAAGTGATGCAAAACAAGAAAGTGGAGGAAATGACAAACACGTTTGGCACTTTCATCTATCGTAATAAATAACAATAACTGTTACTTATGCAGCTGTTTTAAAGACACTTTGGAAAATTCCCAGTGCTGGGAGTATAGCAGGATGGTAGAGCATTGTCTACCATGTACAAGACCACAGGATTGATCTACATCACCACAAAGGAAAAAGTGAAACAAGAAGAAAAATAGTTATATGCATAAACTAGTGCTTCTCAGTTTTATATATCAATATATCAAACTGGAGACTTTATAAATATTCAGATACTCTGATTAAATTAAACCAGTCTAATCAACATATCTGTCAAGATTGATGTATCACTTCTGATATTTCCTAACACTTAGAAAAAGTTCATTTATATGATCTATTATTACTATTTTGTTACTCAATAAAACTGTTTACTGTTAGAAATATCATCTAATATCATTTGCATCATAACTCTTACTTTAATCAGATAGAAACTACTACCTACATAATTCAAGTAGTTGGCATTTCTACACTATTCTGTTGTCCTGCACACTTATTCTCCAAAGACAACTGCTGTCAGGAATCTCATTTTCTTCTCAAGTTTTTCCATGCCAGTTTAATTTCATGTATCCATAAAGATTTTTCTTAAGTGTTTACCTAAAGAATATATAAAACCTTCTAAATAGAATACAATACATCACCTATCACCCATGAAATATACTAGCTACATCAGCATGGTAATTGTAATTATCTCTGTGAAGTACATACTTCTCCCTTCAAAAATTTAGATGATTTACAGAATTACCAGAGAGAGGGACATCAGTTCCTTATTGCAACAAACCTTTAAAATTCTTGTGCCTTCTCCATACCACACAAGTGAATTTTCAGATGACATTTCCAACAATTTATAGACATCCAATTTACTACTTATCACATATTTGTTATCACAATAAAAATTCAGTCATTAAATACATCCTCTTATTCTTAGGATGTACCATCAAAAATATATATGAAGTCTCTCTGGTAATAACCTTTCAATATAACTCATCAAGAAATTTCATCTTAGCCATGCATAGTCATGTACATCTATAATCTCAGCACTTAAGATTCAGAGGTAGGAGGATCTCAAATGCAATGATATCCTCTACCATACAATGAGACCATGTTTCAAACCTCCAAAAAAGTAAGGAAAAGAAAAGAAATTTCAAATTGTAGAGGGGGTAGTTTTTCCACTTGTCTCCAGTGCAAGAGAAAATGTCCCAATATGGAGGCAAAAAAATGAATGCTTTTGTACCATATGCTTGAATTCCTACAATATGGTGAAGGTGCATAAATAACTCTACTTTTCTGAGCTCTGTGCTTAATGTATATAGTTAAAACAAAAGCCATCCTCACCATGTGTTTGGCAAGAAATCTTTGTTTAGGAACTACTAAATATTTAGTCACTGTGAGATTTTTTTTAAGAACTCAATAATCAAAGAAATGGTGCATACAATTATTGGTGCATACAATTGTCAATAACTCTATGAAGTCTTGGAATGATGATAAAGACTAAAATGTGTATAATATGTCACTGCTTCAGCAGTAATGCTTGCCTGCCTTCTCCTCTTTTTGCTTCTTTTGCTCCCTCTATACTCATAAGCATCTTTTCTGTGGTCATTAAATAATTGAATATTATCAATTCAAATAAATGGAATTATGGGTCTCATATGTCCACGATATACACATAAAAAACTTCTATTTTATCTTGCATTTAATGCTAGGAGATATCCATGAAAAGGATAAAAAGGCAAAGAGAAAACCACCAAGTGTGTTGAATCCACATTGCTTATGTCCAGTATTTATGAATAAAGGAAGGGTATATTCATGGTTTAATATGCATTATTTTTTAATTTCTTTTCTCTGCTGAACATGGTCTCTCAGAATTAGATATAGAAGATGCTCATTTCTTTCAAAATATACAGCATATACTAAATATAAGGAATAAAGTAGTAAATATAAGGAAAAATTTAATTGCTATGCTCCAGAAATAGGAAAACGATCATTTCAAGTCACAAGATCCTTTAGTTGAATGGTATGAATATTATTCTTATAATTGTTAATACCTAACTTCAGTCTCTTCTGATTTTATACTCATAACATATTAACCTCATAGAGAAGATTGATTATCTGTTTCATTCATACTCAATGCAGTTTTACGATTGAATTCCACTCAGATGCAACAATGAGCTTAGAAATCCTAACAAACTTTCCTGTGCTCAAGACATAAAATTGGACCCAAAAGAAATCAATTAAATTTTCAGACTGTGGTTAAAGTACCCCCAAACAAGCACAAGGAGAGTGGTCTTCATTGTGGATACACTTTTACACTCATTTAAATTTCCAGAGTATGAAGGAAAGTAAGATCTGAGTTCAACTCTCCTTTTTAGATTGAGTGAGCTGATACAAAATTTCAAAAGGATATGGACAGCTGAAAGGATGTTCTGGAATAGACAAATAGTGATCTGTGGTGAATTTTCAGTCCCTGCTCTTTCTGTGAAGATTGGCTATGAATGTAACCATTCTCCTTGTAGCTGATACAGCAGCTGTCACACATTGAGATCTGCAAGGACCTCTCCATGGCTTCACAGTGAGAAAAACATTTCTGGGAATGACAGTCCTTATTGATAAATTTTTGTACAACTCTATGCTCCCATCCAGCTGCCCAAATTGCATGATGGCCCTGATGATGGGAAACCAATGATCCTGATAGAAACTCCCTCCTCCATCCATCATTTCTCTCAGCACTTACTAGTTTCCACTGCTAGTCTGCTGAGGGATAGCAGAAGTCTTCAGATCCAATGTCTTGGTGCCCAATGAAGACACAGGCTCTGTCCTCATAGTAGGCATGAATGCAGGCTCAGATAAGCATCTCCTGATCCAGGATATTATGGAGTAAGACACAAAGATGTGGATCCCACTGGACTGCAGTTCTGGAGGCACAGAACATTGACTGTTCTATGTCCTTAAGGGTTCAAAGCACAGAGATCATTGCTGCTGCAAAATTTGCAACCCCCAAAGATAAAGTGATGAATGCTCACAGTTTGTAGAATTTTTAGTGCACAATTGGCTTGCTCCAAGGCAGGGTTGAATTGCAGAGCAGAAACAGCTCATGGTAAAGCAACAAGGAACAACCACAGATCCTTTAATCCCTTGCACCTTATCCCCAAAACTAAGGGTGGGTAGCACCTTCAATCCTAGTGTTTACAATCCTAGTATTGCACCATATCAATACCAGCATCACATACTATAGATCCAGCCACCTCTGAAAAAACCCACCTATGACTGCATGAGGCTTTGTGGGTAAATCTAAACACAAGGCATAACAATACACAACTTATAGTTTTGGCTTTGGTGGACTTCAATTTCTAATGAATACCCTCATAAACATGAAGCATCAATGATCACACATACAGTGTTAGTGTGCAATGAATCTATCAATAATTAAACAATAATATTTTAGGAAAAAAATTGACATATAATTAAGCATCATAGGTACTCAGCTCAAAATAAAGGCATGTACAACCTGCATTTGCTTTTCAGCACTTATGTAAACATGAAGCATCAATGATCACACATACAGTGTTAGTGTGCAATGAATCTATCAATAATTAAACAATAATATTTTAGGAAAAAAATTGAATCATTTGATTTTATATTGTTATTGTAATGACCTCATAAAATCATAGGAAAATGTCTACAGAATATTAGCCACTATGGTGGTCCAGTGTGCTTTTATTGCAGAGATTTCCTTCACTTTTCCTGTGTGCTTCAATTTTCATCAAAGACCCTGAGAGAGTCCCTCTTTCTGTTGTCCACTTTTGCTGTATCTTCTGGAGATCAGGGCAATGGCCTTTATGATCTCCTTGTCTCTTCAGTGTGGATCCGGGTACAGGCATAGCCAGGAAGCCAGAAGGGAAGGTTCTGGGGTGGTGCTGCACATGGCTCCTCTGGTCATTCATAGGCCTAGAGTGGGGTTGGGGCTGCAGCTCAGCTCCACGTGGCTGAGCTCCTCACTGGTCAGCTTCTCACTCCAAAGGACTCTAAATTTTACCTTAAGAGTAAAAACAAATTTAATATTAAAGACTTCTGTGTAGCTGTGATGCTAATTATTACTGACTTCTTTGTACATTAAATGAATTTGCATTCCATAATTCTACATGGTTTCTTAAGTGCAAAACATAGGTGAACACTTATCATATTGGTATCCTGGAGTAAAATTGTTTACAATGATAGACTTTTCCTGACTTAGGTTTATGTGGTCTTTATTGTATTATGATAGTGTACCTAAACATTATCCAGTTTGTGCAGGGTCATTCTAATGAAGAAAGACTCAAAAACAGTCATTTATAACACACATCTTTGAACAAGTGCATTCTACATACA